AGAAGAGCTTTTTGGTCAGACTAGCTGCACCATCCACTAGGGAAACAAAATAATTTGTTGGATTTATATGTCTGACTGAAATATCTGGTTGCCAGATAATCCCCTACATCTGCCAGATATGGGGGAAGAAATCTGATGAAAAAGCAGGGATGGCCAACATACAGTCTGTGCCATTTTTGCAGCCCCTGCTGTCCACAATGGGAGCACTGGCTGCCTCTGCTGTTGTTCTTACGTGCCACCAAATCACCTCCAATGCACGGTGACCTTAATATGGTTTTCAAGGTACGTGAGATTTTGTTTGTTTATAATATTTTTACCCTGCCCTTCTCCTTAAAGAGGACCTAAGGCAACTTATATCATTTAAAGACAATATTAAAGCTAACAGCAGTGAGTATACAAATAATAAAAAGGATCAAACATATACTATACTAAAACACACAATCCATAACCAAAACACGTCCCAAGCAGTAAGGTACAACCAACAGCCCCACTGAGGCAGCCAGTCACTCAGGGAAAGCGTACCTGAAGAGAAAGGTCTTCACCTGCTTGCGGAAGGACAGTAAAGATGGGACCAGCCTGTTCTCCTGTGGGAGGGAATTCCTAAGACTGGGAGTATCAACAGAGAGGGCCCTCTCCAGTTTCCCTTAACACTCAAGCAGGTTCATAGAGGGAGATGCAGTCTTTGTTAGTTCTTTGGAATATGTGTACTAGGCAAATCAAGTGTTTCGGCTAGATTGAGAAAGGATTGCAAGAGAGACGCAAGATAGCTTGGACCCAAGCCATATTTAAGGAATGGTTTTATCATTGCCACCCTCACCGTGAGTTTCCATAGCCAGGTGGGGAGTTGGACCCAGGTCTCCTGGGTCTCAGGGGGTGACTACATTGAAAAATAGCATGGAGTTGCTCTGGGATTGTCAGGGTAAAATTTGTTAATATTTTCCTTTTACTATATGATGTACAGCTCAATGTGAATCAGCCCAGATCATTTTCTTCCTATGTAGTTTTTCCCTCTGTCACTTAGGCTTCTTTTTTTTTTTTTGAAAACAAATCTATTTGCTTAGGTTCAAGCATGTGATAACCTGTACCAATGTAGAAAACAATGGAAGCATGTGCAGGGACTGATTCAAGTGGTGCAAGAGTGCTTTTTAAGGTGATGTCTTAAGTGGGGCATGTTCTCTATGACTGTGGGAACACTCACCCTTGTGAGCTCTCTCCTTTTCTTCTTCTTCTTCTTCTTCTTCTTCTTCTTCTTCTTCATCATCATCATCATCATCATCATCATCATCATCATCATCATCATCATCATCATAGGTTAGAATTATCTATCCTAGTGCTATATCACCTAATTTGTGCACTGGAATCCCTAACTGGGAGAAAGGCAGTCAGAAATGAAACTTAGAATTATCTATCCTAGTGCTATATCACATAATTTGTGCACTGGAATCGCTAACTAGGAGAAAGGCGGTTAGAAATGAAACAAATAAATAAATAAAGTGAAGACAGATATTGCATGCAATGCCTAGTGTCTAGTTAACAGAGCACCACCACCCACACTTATTGAACTACTGTATTTTTTCTGTGTATACGACACTACTTTTTCCTAAAATCATTACACTAAAAGTTGAGTTGAGAATACAGAGAGAACAAAACTTCCCATACCTTGCCTCTGTAGACAGGCTGCCTCCATTCACAAGGCTTAGCTTCCTATAGTCAGGAGACTTACTTTAGCTTTCTCCAATCACGAGCCTTACAGAACTGATGCTTAACAAACCAATTGGAACACACCTTGTTGGAGGTGGAGCCTGTAGGCTCAGATGCAACAAGGACTCATAATGTCTGAGCGTTCTGAGCCTGGAGGCTGGATCCTCAAAGCTACGTTTTCTTAATTTGTGGGTTAGAAAAAGGGGGGTCGCCTTATAAATGGAAAAATATGGTATGTTAAAGAAAGTTGTTTAGAGAGCATCAGAGAGGCCCCACACAGATGCAACAAGGACTCATAATAAAAGTAATGAGTGGCTATGATAAAAGTAGTAACACAAGGTATTTTAGCATCCAAGCTACCAATATGGAGTAATGACTTACAAATAAATAGTTCCATTGACCCCAATATGGAGAGCAGACTTCTGGATAATGACCCCAATGAGTATTGTAACAAGGTTACAAAATAATATTCTGCAAAATATTATTCTCATGAGGAGAGGTTCATGTAAAGCCAGTCTCTGAGCATATGTGCTGCTCATATGGCACACCATGCAGGCATTTCAGCTTACACTTCTACATTTCTTAGTGCATGTGGGAAATTGTAATCCTTCCAATGGTTCTGTTAAAAATGAAGTTCATTTAACTTTATCATCTAATATGAGAGCACAATCAGAGTGAAAGAACAATTAAAGTAATGGAATAATTTTCTGTTTTGACCTTCCAAGGAAACAATCAATTGAAATTTAAAGGGATTATCTTTTGTGTAGCTTTGGATAGGTATGACAATGGCTTTTTAAAAAGCCATGCATAATCCTTTCTCAATCTTGCTGAAAAACTTTGATTTTCCTAGTACACATATTCCAAAGAACTAGCATTACTGATTCATTAGGTGGCAGTGAAGTTCTTTCTTGGTGAAAGAGGTTCTATGGTTAAAGGTCTTTTACAGACCTTCCTAGATCATGAATAATCTAGATTCAGATCTGCATCCAAGTATGTGTGTAGGCATCCTTCAGTCTCAAGAGACTATGGTAACGAGCTTTGTATGGAGAACGTGGAACAGCTTCTGGCTGAGAAGGCCAATTCGAGAGTGACAATGCCTTCCACACCAAAGACAAATACAATCCATCCCCTGTCCAGCTCCCTGATTTTGCTTCGATGCTGTGTGTGAAGCTGGAGTGTCCTCTCCAGAGCACGAAGCCTGCGTAAAATAATATGGAGGATAATCTGTTACCCAATCAGCAAATCCCCCTCTCCACATCAATAGTCCAATGGAAAGGCAGGAGCCAATACAACTGATTCCAGCTATGTCGCAGGAGTTGCCAGAACAACACAAACTGCCTCCGGGACTCCGGCTCTGGATTTTGCCTCTAGGTTAACTCCTGAAGCCTGTTCCATCAGTGGATAGAGCCACAAGCAGTGGAGGTTTGAAATCAGAGTTTTCCTTCTCTTATATGGGATCCAAGTATAATGCTGACCAAAAAAAAAAAAAAAAAAAAAAAAACCAACCTAATCCAGCACTAATACTAAACTTTTTCAAACCATATACAGTATAATACTCCTGGGAGCAGAGATGCACTTGTTTCGATGTCTGGTGCATTTTTTTAATTGAAAAGAAATGTAAACTTCAGATCTGGTGACGAAACAGTGGCTTAAATCAAACACTGTGGTTTGGTACTTCTTTTCTCTACCTCAAAGCCTGAAAATTGGTTTTGGAAGGTTTCCCAGATTTTCAAAGCTGCTTTTTGAGGTATGGAAAGGAATACAGTGGAGGAAGTATTCATCCTCTCCTGATTCCACCGGGCCAGGCTGTTCTCTCAACAGACATTCGGCATTAGAACACCGGTCACAAGCTGCAGTCCTGAATTTGCTTCCTTAGTGGGCCAGATGGGGAACCCTCAAAAGCCAGAGATTCCCCATCCTTAAGCAAGAAAGTGAACCATATTAGTCTTACTTCTGATTCAATCTCATGAGGAACTGCTGAAAGTCTGCCCACTTATCTTTAGGAAAATGTTCATAAGCAAAGTTTGTGAAGGGAAAAAAGGCTGCTTTTGGGAAAAATAGTAGGCTTGCTGCTGACTGTTTTTTTCTCTTCGGTTTCTTTTCAAAATGATCTTCAAGAGGATGCCTGAACTTAGAGGGTAAAAAAAACACCCAGCTGTTAAAGATCTGCAATACCTGCTATTATATCCACAGAATCTTAAAATAAATGAGTTAGAAGGGGCCTGGAAGACCATCAGGTCCAACCCCATGCTCAAGGCAGGAATCCAAATCAAAGCAGACTATTATTACATGTCCCACATTCTGAGATGATCAAGAAAGGATTCTGCCCGTCCTCTGTATGACTACCTTAATCAAAAGGAAGACAGCTTCTTAAAGATAAATGATTCATATGAACGGAAGAGGGATACATGAAATTTTTGTGGGTTTCCCCCCCTCGCTTTCATTTAACCTTTCTTTCACTCTTTGTTGGTCAATGGCTCAGGAAATTTTCCATCTACTAGCATCACAATGGCTCGTGTCAGCAGCCCATTGGGGGGAGGGAATTTTGAATATATAAACAGGCCTGGGTTGATTTGAAACCAGTGAAGAGTGCTCTTCAGGTTTACTTCAGTCGTGCCTTATGGTGGGGATAACTGTGCTGCTCAGTTCCTGTTGCCCTCCATCTTTTTTAGAAAATAATCAGTGGTAAGCAGAAGAGAACCCTCCCCGTATTCTAGTAGTTTTGGAACTTACAGAGGAGTTGACTCAGCAAGTTAATGTAATGGGACAGTTTAATAGGCCTGGAGTAGGGTGACTTATAATTCTGAGCAAAGGATTTCAGCTACTCTGTAGAACTATTCTATAATACTTTTCCAAATCAATTGAAGCCTGCCTGAGAATGAAGGTATTTGTCTCTTGATGGAATGAGGAGGAAGAAGGGGGCCAGCCTGGCCTCTTAGGGAGGACATCCCACAACCTGGGCAGAGCCATCTAAAAGGCTGTCTCTTGCATCCTCCTGAAATGGGCCTGTGAGGGTGATAAGATGGAGAGAAATGTCTTCCCAGATCTTAAAAGCTGGGGAGGCTCATGTGGGGAGATACTATACCAAATTCTGGAGAGAGCAACAATTAGTTCATGCAAAACATTCCTAGCTTTTTACTAGGATCTTCTGTGCTTGAGTAGTAGTTCCATTGGTTCACACATCATAGAAACACAGGAAGGTGCTTTATATTGAGTCTTGCCACTGTCCATCTAACTCACTATTGCATTGATTAGCAGTGGTTCTCTACAGCTGCAGCTAGAAATCTTCCCAAGCTTACTTGAAGATGTCAGGAACTGAATCCAGGACCATTTGCATGAAAAACAAGTGCTGCATCACCCCGACCCTCCTTATGTCTTAGGAGATGAGGCAGAGGAAGTTTTACTGATTTGTTGAAGAAGTTTGTTGTTAAGCTCTTGAGCTGTTGTTTACTAAGATCAACAAAGAACAAGACACTTAAGTGAAGTACTTGAACAAATCAAGAGACCAGCTGTTTTAAGAAGAAAGAACATGGACGATTCAGAATGGCTGAGCAAAATATCGATTTACAGGTCCTGTACTGGCTTTTTCCTTTGATGATTAATTCAGTGACTAAAAATCTATAACAGCTTGGAGGTTTTTTGCTGCTAGGAATCTGAAGCATGTGACTAAGAAACCTAGGAATCCTTAAAATCTGGCCAGAACTTGGAACACTTTGCTGGAAAAGAAAAAGAAAATGCTAAAACTCTTTTGTAAAAATCAGTCTTGTTCCAACATCAAATGATCTGTAGTTACCGTTGAGATCACGTGACCATCAGCTAGGATCAGCCGGTCCTGTTGTGGTATATTTAGAGCTTTGAAGAATTATCATTTATACTGTAACTTGCAGAATTCTCCAACCAACGTTATCAGTGGCTATGTAGATTGAGACACTTTGGGTCTTCTGAACAAAATAAAACAAGATAACTCCCTTCACCAAGTTATGTTAATGCTGGCTTCACCACACACAAAAATCAATACATTAAGTTGTTCATGGCATAATTTTCATGACGTAATATTACTTCCTCTAATGTGTAAACAGGTTGTTAAAGATACAGGAACAGAAATTGCTAAGAAGCTGGCAGCTTTGGCAGTAATATGATCAACTTCTGGGGGAAAATAAAGAAATTAAGGGTGCAGTCATACATCAAAATTGTGTTAGGACATAAGAAAAATGAAATAGATGTTTACAAGGATTAAAGAGAACTTTTATAAAATTGTGTGGTGACGGTATCTATCTCTGGTGAAATTAAATCAAATAAATAAGTATTCTATGTTGTGTTGGAGAGGATGCTAGAAAACTGCTACTTATTTTCATATGTGGTGGGAATGTGAGTGTGATGAAATGTTGGCAAATGGTATTTAAGAAAATAAAAGACTGTGGTGGGAATGTGAGAGTGTGATGAAATGTTGGTAAATTGTTTTTTAGGAAAAAAGAGACATAACCAAGCAAAATTTAAAAGTATCTCCTAGAATAGCATTTTTATCAATATTTGTTAAGGAGGAATATAATTGGGCAACTATAGAACTAATTTCTAATGTATTAATGGCAGCTAGATTAATTATAGCTAAGTACTGGAAAATAAAACATGAATTTTAATTAAACAATTGGTAAAAATAAGTACTGGCTGTGGCTATCAATTATAAATCAATGCGTAGTATTAATGTAAATAAATGATTGCTTAGAAAAAGATACTTTTGCAGAAATTTGGGGAGATTTTATTGATTGCTGTAAATAAATGATTGCTTAGAAAAAGATAATTTTGCAGAAATTTTGGTAGATTTTATTGATTGCATATTAATAAAGGCAAAGGGAAGTGCACCATCTTCGTTACTATTTAGGATGGGCAATGAGAATTCTTGAAGGAAAGATCTTCAGTGGTCTTGTTGGGGGACACATTGTTTCAATTTTTGAAGGCTTGTGTATAAAAACTGTCTTACTTGGTTTTTTTAAAATTTTCTTTAAGTTTGGATTGTGTCATGTAATGCATGTTTATTAATAAAATTTAAAAATAATGTTAAATAAATTGTGTTTGTCACACTTGAAATTAATTTAAAACATGATGTATAGATTAGTGCACAATTTTTGGTGTGTGTTTTTTTTGTCCAGAAAACAAGGTATTTTAAATATCCTCAGGGGAGCTGTTTATTTTAACCTGACTGTGGACACAATTTATTGTGAATTGTTTTGGCATGTGTGCTTGCTTGCCTGTGTCAGAGTAAACTGTCTGTGGAATTTGCCAAGTAATGCATGACAGGATCATGGGTTTTGGGCTGCAGGAAAACCTTGCAGTCTAATCTGCTATATTTTTACTATCTGCATTACTAAACTAGGGCTGCAGGAAAACCTTGCAGTCCAATCTGCTATATTTTTACTAGTGTATCTGCATTACTGAACTAACACATTCCAGTCTGAAATAAATAAAAATAAAACAAATACTGTATTAAAAATAACACCACCGGTGCCAGCAGCAAATGACTGTGAGAGGCAGCCACTGGGAGAGCAGGTGGGCACAGGACAAAGCCTCAAATGTAGCAATTTTAAAAGTCTGTACTAATATACAACCAGCTTAAACATGGATTAAAAGTTGTCCCAAAATGACGTATGCACTGACCCCCAGACCACATGACTATCCTGTGACTTTTAATTGACTTTAAAAACCCTGATCCATCACCCAACATGTATATAAGACCAGTGTGCCCTGGAATGTAATCTCTTATCAACTCCTTACCTGGCATCTTCCAACATCTACAACAACAACGGCCAGTTAAGAATCCATGGGATGGATCAATCCTGAGAATAATTTATTTTCTTTTAAGCAGAAATGTTGTGTCAATTAGAAATATAAGCAGAAATGCACAAACTCTAAAGCAAGAATATAGTATAAGAATTTCGACCCCCCCCAAAAATCTTCACCATACTGTTGTTAAATGATTAGTAACAACACATGTTTATATTAAAATATAGCAATATACAGGCAGGGAGCAATTTCAGAACCACACCTCCTGTCTCAGTCTCCAGGTATAAGAAAAGCTTGCACAGAGTTTCACTTATGTTTTCTTTTCTTACACGAAGAAACAAAATAGCCCCAGTATTGCTAATATAAACTGTGCACCTCTGTTTATATTAGCAAATCTAGAAAATGGTGGAGTATACATAAGCAGCTACAATAGCCTGATAGCTTGGCTTCAGCTTGACCACTGGCTACCCACTCAGTCTGCTCTTTGAACTCCTTGATACTATCTGCTTGGCTAACTGACCCAACCTGGCTTTTGGAATGCCCCCTTCTTATCCCTCGGCAACCTCCAGAGCTACAGAAGCCACACATGCCAATCTCTGGATCTTGGGGGGGGGGACACTTACACCTGCAACCCCCATTCCCAAATTTTTTCACATTTAACTGAAAAAATGTCCTTGTGCTTCTGATCCCCACTAAATTTGCAGGTATGAGAGTCCCAGAATTGCTGAGGGGACCTCAAAACATGGCTAAATTTCCCCCTAGAGTTAGGATAGGTAAAGGTTCCCCTTGACATTCTGTCCAGTTGTGCCTGACTCTAGGGCGCAGTGCTCATCCGTTTCAAAGCCATAGAGCCAGTGTTTGTCCGAAGACAATCTTCTGTGGTCAAGTGGCCAGCACAACTAGACATGGAACGTCGTTACCTTCCCATCGAAGTGGTACCTATTTATCTACTTGCATTTTTACATGCTTTCGAACTGCTAGGTTGACAGGAGCTGGGACAAGCGATGGGAGCTCACTCTGTCGCATGGATTCGATCTTACGACTGTTGGTCTTCTGACCTTGCAGCACAGAGGCTTCTGCAGTTTAACCTGGGAACCAATTCTGAGCCTGTTTTCTCCCCCCTACTTTCCCAACAACAGGGTCTTTTCGAGGGAGTCTTCTCTTCTCATGAGATGGCCAAAGTATTGGAGCCTCAGCTTCAGGATCTGTCCTTCCAGTGAGCACTTAGGGTTGATTTCTTTCAAAATGGATAGGTTTGTTCTCTTTACAGTCCAGGGGACTCTCAAGAGTCTCCTCCAGCACCACAATTCAAAAGCATCAATTCTTTGGCTGTCAGCCTTCTTTATGGTCCAGTTCTCACTTCCATACATCGCTACTGGAAAAACCATAGCTTTGACTATGCGGACCTTTGTCGGCAAGGTGATGTCTCTGCGTTTTAAGATGCTGTCTAGGTTTGTCATCGCTTTCCTCCTAAGAAGCAGGTGTCTTTTACTTTCGTGGCTGCTGTCACCCTCTGCAGTGATCATGGAGCCCAAGAAGGTAAAATATGTCACTGCCTCCATCTCTTCCCCTTCTATTTGCCAGGAGGCGATGGGACCAGTGGCCATGATCTTGGTTTTTTTCATGTTGAGCTTCAGACCATTTTTTTACCCCTCCCCATACTGATAGAAAGCAACCAGCTGCCAAACAACAAAAACATTCCTTTATCAGACACTGTACTCTGTTATCGTCACCTGATTTCTATTAATAGCTCCATCCCACCACTGGGCTCAAATTGTTCAAATCCTCCTCTGGCTTGGCAGAGGCATTCTCAGAGTCTACAATGTTTTGTCAAATGTCCAGTGGCCCGCCTAATGCCCCTTGTGTGTCAATACATGATCTCAATGCCTTTGCAACATCTGTGATATGGAATGGGTAATTTAATGTTTTGATCCATACGTTGAGCACTCCCTAGTCAAGGGAAATCTCTGCTCAAGAATAGGCTCAATTGGACCAATCCAACTGTATATTTCAATAAAGCAGGGACACTGAAACAGGTTATGGAAGAATGATAACAAACCTGTCCCTTCAAGAGACAATAAAGTGCTTTGAAAATGATGGATAAGGAATTCTTCAAAAATTAATCTAAGAACAAGGTAGCATCTTCCCCAAAACTAGGAACAAGCCCTTGATTTCCACGCCCACCCATGCCAAAGAAAGAAAATGAAAACATGAAAACTATCTTTGTGACTTTCATGAAAGACATGTCCAAGGATGGCCATGCAGAACTTGCTCCACCATTCAGGGTGGGTGAAGAATGTTGGTACCTTTCACACATTGGTGTCTACCCCTCCCTCCAAGCTAGACATATCAGAACAGTCTTTGATACAAGTACTCAGCTTTAAGGAATTCATCTGAACGAGAAAGTGGAAAAAAGTCATGTGCTCCTTTTACATAACTTATGTTTCTCATTCTGCATGTGCTTGGTTGATCCGTCCTTTCTGCATCTGTTCAAAGTGATCACACACTTTGACCTGAATTGAAAGGATTCAACTATTAAAAAGTAGAAGGATCTCTGATGGGGAGGAAAAACTACAGATTGGGGTTGTGGGATTCCAGGCCAATTCACATTCCCTTTTACATTGTGTGAGCAGTGGGGGAAATATGCAAATCAGCCAGCCCCAAACCAATAGTATGTTCAGCTTTTCCCCCCTCTGTGTAGTGAGGCTCTTGAATCCCATATTCATGAGCTTATATTGTTCAGGCTTTATTACTTTATAAATTTTGGTCAAAGTACTGTGTTGAGCAGTTAAACTTTAACCTTGAAAGTCACTTGGGGATTTCTTCATATGAAATAATCAGTACACTTCCATGATCTTATCATATACTTGGAGTGATATCACACACCAATACTCCAGGCATAAGCTTGCTGACTTTTACCTTGCCTTGTTTGGACAATCATACTTTACATAGATAGAAGTGGGTTTTTGGGGTGCAGTTGGAGAAAAATGTGTACAGTTGGAAAGGACAGATGTGCAGTTTGAGAACCAGAGGAAAAAAATTAGACAAGCTATGTTGCAACAATTTATAGTGGGTGAAACCCTGTTCATGCAGATGTAACATAGAGCGACACTTGCATAAATGTGCTAGGTGTTACAAAGAGCAACTGTCACGTTCCCGCCTGCCCCTTGGTTGTTTCACCAATCAAAGGGCACAAGCTACGTGTCATGTCGCTGGGCTCAAATTGCAAATATCCCCATTTTGGGCAAAGAATTTGATTGCATGGTGGTTCGGCTACTTCAGATGTTCTTGGAGGAAACTGATTATCTTGACCCGTTTCAGGCCAGGGTTTGGTACCAAAATGGCCTTAGTTGCCTTGACTGATGACCCGCTCTGAACTAAAGACAAGGGAGTATGGCTTTATTAGTTCTCCTGGACCTCTTGGCAACTGTTGAAGCCATTGATCTTGATATCCTCTTGGACTGGCTCAGTGGAATGAGAGTGCGAGGCACTGTATTCCAGCAGTTCTGTTCCAATCAGTTTTAAATTATTTTAAAGATCTTATGTTTTTAAACTGTCTTACGCAGTTCTGCAATCTTGCAGTATAGGGCAGGCTATAAATGTTTTAAATAAAAAAATGTGTACAAACACTAAGCAAAGGAAAAACTTCATAATAACAGGCAGCACTTCAGCAAGGATCAAGCCAAGTAATTTAAGGATAGGCATACAGGAGTAATTTCTTTATCCCTACTTAATGAGCAAGGAGAATCTGCTATCCAGCAAAAAAAATTATATATTCACTTTGCACAAGACACTCATGCAACAAAATGAAGATATGTGGGAGTTTGTCCCCTTTCACACATTTGATCAACCTTTCACCTGCAAAAAGATTATCTTCTCTTCCATCGACATATGTACCTTTATAGAGATCTATTTAGTAAAGACACTTGACTTTTTTTTAATCCATTCATGGAACATTAGCGTTCTTGGGGCACTTTCACACAGAAGGAAAACAGGAAATTGGTACATCTGTAGTTCTTCATACTTCCTGGAAAAGTCCAAGATTTATTTATTTAAAATATTTTATCCTGTTTTTCTCCTTAAAAAGGACCCAAAGCAGCTAATACTGAGACTTTAAAAAAAAAAGAAAAATAAGAAATGGTCCAATTTCATACTGTACGATCAGCTCCACTAAGAGAAGCCTCCATACAGTAGGTACAAATGGATATCCAGGGGTATACAGTGTAAAAAGGCCATTTCTGAAGGTGGAACTCATGGCCTGCTTGAGAAGGTCTCTGTATCTTTTACAGTATACAGGTTTTTTTAGGGGGGGCAGAAATCTGTTTTTACTCCTTTCCACTAGTGAACACTTACTTCCCCCTTGATTTTTTTCCCTCCCCCTTCTCTGGCAGTATCTTCCTTTCTAGCTGCTATGCCAGAGAGAAATCCTGAGGTTAATGTGATTAAGCAAACAAGCATCTAAGAAGCAGCAGCTTAAGGCGGTGGAGGGGGGGACCTCCTCCAAAAGCCTTAAGCAATATTACCTCTGTTCTTGTCTGGTCTGCCTGCCCTCAAGTTTACACCTGCAGAGCACATTTCGAAAGGAGTGGATGACATAAGAAGGCATCAGCAGGGATGTCCTAGAAGAAGGAACAAGTAAGCCACGCCCATTTCTCGTCTGTTCCCAAATGTAGTAATTCTTAACAGCACAATCCTAGGCATGTTTATTAAGATATAAGTGCCAGAAGGGGCACATGGTACCCCAACTGCCACATACCAAGCCTTGCACTATCTACCTGTTAAAACTGAAAGCCGCCCACAACAGTTTCTCCTTCACAGCTTAGAGGTCCTCCGAAGCCAAGAGGAAAAAGCGAATACCTGCCTTCAGCCTCCCTTGAACCCAAAAGAGGATGATGCAAAAAAAAAAAAAAGTGGGCGCAATTATCAAGGCAGCTCTGATACCACCAAGGACAATGCGCTTTTCTTCCTAATCCAATAACTACTTTCTATCTATGATACTCTTATGCAAACTCCTCCCCTCCGCACCACTTCGTATAAAACACCAAAACTTATGTAACTTGGCAACTAATCTTCAGTAATCTTAAGGAAGGCATTTAAATCCAAACAATAAGGCTGTTTTTGTGAGGGCGGCGGAACAGCGGAAAAAAACCAAAAAGAAGGGCGAAGGGCGGGAAGGGGGGTGGAGGGGAGAGAGAAGGAAGGCAAAGTGCAGGCCGGGCTCCCCCGGCCGCCAATGCAAAGTTCGCTGCATGCCGGCCACGACGCGTCGTGCTGCTTTCCTTCCAGCCACAACCGTCCTGGCGGCGGGCATGGCCGCCTGAACCCCCGGCAGGGAAGAAGAAGAAGCGGCTCCTGCTGTTCCCCCCCCACCCCCACCCCTCGGTCCCGCCTCAGCCACGATGAGGACCTCTTCTCTCTTCGCCGCCCACGGCCTCGCCTTCGCTTGGTACGTCTTCCTGGTCTATTCCATCAGCCACATCGCGAGGAAAGGAGAAGAGAAGAAGCCGCCGGCGGTCTTGCCCTTCGGCGGGCCGTGGAAGTTCCTGACGGTGCTCAACCTGGTAAGGAGGACGGGCGAGCAGGCGGGGGCCGCTGCCCTTGCCTTGAGCTGAGCGGCCAGGCTCTTGCGCTCTCGCTCTCGGCCGGCGGCGCCCTCAGGAAACAGGTGGCTCCCACTTCCTGCTCTTCCC